TAGTTGGAATTCTTTAAACATCAAGCAATCTGAAAGATATTTTCGTGGTTTCAATTTACGTGAAATATAAGATATGATTGTTTTCTTAAAAAAACATTCATAACACTACTAACCACTCCAAAAATCAGAGTAAATTGCTTTGATATAAAACTGATACGCAAAGAATTTGGAATTATGAGGAACTTGTCTGTATATTTTGATTCAATGAACTGGTTTATTTCCTGCTTCCCTTTCTACAATTTTATTTTTAAGTGAAAAATGAGAACTTACTTGTTACATCTTCAGATTCTTCTATATTACTGTTGGGAAATTTGACGGGTCATCAGGTGGGCTTTTGTCACCATATAAATAAAATTCAAGCAGTATTGTATAGATAATGGAGAAAATATCAAAACGATGAAATAAAAATGAACTTTTATACAGTGTTTAAACTCAAATACTTAAGTACTCGGGTCCCTATGATTTTGTTACTTAAATAATAACTTTTAGCTTCCCAAATTATAATGCCTTCAGGTGTGATCGCACTGACTTTCGGGATGGTGGAGCCGAACTATTTATTAATAAAAATTACTCTGCAACATTATATAGCACCAGCAATAATGATGGTTTGGGGGAGGTCTTTGTTATTATTAATCTCGAAGGCAATCGAAAATTAAAAATAACTAGTTTGTACAACCCTTCAAATCATAGCCTCTCCGATAAAACATATACAAGATGTCTTCCCACCGCATTATGAGTGCATTGCTTTAGGAGATCTTAACTCAAAAACTGAAATATGGGGCTGTTCTAAAGAAAACACCCCTGACAAAAAACTTCTGAAACTAGTCAAAAAATATTAGCTTACGGTATACGCGCCTTCAGAGGCGATGTATATGCTAATGGGTATTAGTCACACACGTGATATCCAGGATATCCTAATAACAAATTCGAGCAATCCGTTTACTATTAATGTTCTATACGAACTAAGTAGCGATCATCTCCCCATTCTCGTCACTGCTATGTTTAAAAAGCAGGATAAAACCGGAGTTAAAACTAATACTAAATTACTCTCATACGCAAACAGCCTCATGAAGCGATCAAACCACTCAAATGAACTTAGCACTGTTTCGGATATTGAGAACGAGATCACCAACTTGACCTTGCAAGGATATTCAAGACGCCTATAATGGTGCGTCCAACAAAATAGAAATAAGGAATGATTACTATAAACTCCCACACCATATTAAAATAAAAAATAAACTGAGAATGGTTTTTCAGAGGTCATGAGACTCAAAAATCAAAACCCAAATAAATCGCTATACCAAGGTTATCACAAAAGAAATTACTGACTTTAAAAAAGAGACTTGGGACGACAAAGTAGAAAATCTTGCTACACAGGACAAATCTGCCTGGACTATGGCTCGATTCCAAAACTACTAATATGCCATTCCTAGGATCTAGGGGTAAAACCTACTCAGATATCGATAAGTATGAAATTTTCGCTGTCACCATGGAAGCCCATTTTTCCATTAATAACGAACTCAGCGATAGCACTATTGAATTGAATATTTTAAGTACCTATAATGACTATATAAATTCCCACAATTCAAATAATGATAGTGAGTCTATAACTGTTTATGAGCTTTATAGCATTATAAATAAATTTCATAACAATAAAGCACCTGGGACAGATAAAATCAATAATGTTATGATTAAATACCTCCCTCCAAATATTATAGAGCAGCTTAAAAAGATCCTTAACTCATGTTTGAAAAAATGTTACTTCCCACATCAATGGAAGCATGTGGAAGATGTGCTTTTCCCTAAGCAAGGCAAAATCTTTTAAAACCCGATAGCTATAGGTCCATCAGCCTATTAAAACCCTTTTCAAAAATTTACGACAGGACTATCTTTAATAGAATGAAGCCCAATCTTAGTTTTCTGCCAAATGAGCAATTTGGTTTTCGTGACAGTCTTTCGGCAACGAAACAACTATTTCGAATTGTTCAGGAAGTCTCAAAGAGTTTTAATAAAAACGAGACCACTGCTCTCCTGATGTTAGACGTGGCAAAAGCATTTGACCGCGTCTGGCATCAGGACCTCATTTGCAAATTAATCAACTATAATATTCTTAATGACCTGATTTTACCAATAAACAGTTACTTAATAAACAGGACCTTCCATATAAAAGTAAACGATTCTATATCCTCAGTCAGATCAATTCATGCTGGTGTCCCCCAGGGCTCAATATTTGGCCCAACCCTTTACCTCATTTATTCAGCTGATTTTCCGAATTTCAGTGATAACGATAGTATTTGTACATCGTTTTATTTGCAGATGATGCTGCGATACTCAGCAAATCACTTAATCCCAATAATGCTATTAATAATATTAGGCAAATCATCCCAAATATCGAGGAATGGTGTGCAAAATGGAAAATTTCCATTAACGCCACAAATCCTCATTACTTATCATGAGAAAGTCCCGAAAGAAGAAAATTAAGAATAGTAACCTCCTTCTTTTCAAAGAGACAATTTCTGTAGTAAACAAAGCCACCTACTTAGGTGTAACTATCACCCATAATATGAACTGGAATTCCAACATCTCTAGAATCTCTGTTAAAGCAGAAGGTGCCTTCTACTCTCTCAAACCGATTCTCAGTCATACCTCAAAATTAGGCTTGAAAACTAAGAGGACCTTATACCTTCAATGTATGAGATCAATAATCAGTTATGCTGCTCCGTCTTGGAGTGCCCTAATGATCACTCAAAAACTCAAACTCGTGACGATTCAAAACAAAATGATCAGAAGGTTCACGGGTGCACCCCGTGGACTCAGAATGAGCGATATCCGCAAAGACCTAAACATTACCTTATTGGAAGAACACATAGTTCTATTATGTGCTATCATCTTCAAAGACGCAATAAGCTGCACAACCTGCAACTACAATCGACTTTGAGCTTATCAGCGATAACATTAACTACAGTCCGGCAACTGCGTTTTTCCTCTCTGATGGAGTTTTATCAAAACGATTTACCTCTTAATTTATAAATATTTTCTTCTCTATTTAATCAAGGTCCCTGTCTGTGCACCATTGAGCCACCTGTGCAAGGGGGGAGGTGAGACAGGCAGGAGCTGAAATTATATTTCTCTGTAAATATCTTGTACATATTCTAGTATATATCTTTTCTTACTGTTTATTTTAATCTTGAATTGCCCATCTTTAATATTACTCCAATGATATGAGCTTCGGCTATGTTTAAATATGTCTCCAATCAGATGAATGAGTTAGGGCCCTTGACGGGGTCAAAACTTAAATAACAACCTCACACAGGCATATCATCTGACACTATGAGTTCAACCAGAGAATACGTTTTTTCGCAAATGGACGATGAGAGTCAACGGCAGTGGTGCAGGCAACCGGGTGTTGTGATGCAGATGGGTCAGCCAGAAATTGTAACGTGTTTGCCGAAATGACTTTTATCCAAACACTCGATCCAAACGGATATGCTGATAAAGAAACGTTAATCAAATGTTACATCAACTGTGACCTAGACTATTTACACGGATCTCTTGGTTTCAGAACATTCAAATCGTTTGGAATCAACTGACTGGAGAAAATCATCAAAAAGTAATATTTCGACAGGCTACAGAATGACTGACGAACTAATCATCAGAGTGGCTGAGGAAATAAGGAACATTTGTTTTTCGCAGCCACTCGGAAGATGGTTTATTGATGAAATATCCACCTGCTCCATCTGCCAGGAGGAAATAATACAAGAGCCTAAAGAGACTCATTGTGGCCATCGATTCCATGAGGTTGCTACCTGAGATGAGCAACTCCGTGCATTGCGAATGTATTAAGAAGAGAGAATGCATTAAGAAGAATGTAAATCAGATGGGCTTGCCCCTTTATGCCAAACCAAACGAGTTACCTCAAGAGTTCAATATTTATTTCAAATTGCTGAGATTATATCTGTCAGGGAACCATCTAGCCATCAAAGGATGCCCGTATACGGCGGATATTTTGGAAAATCTTGGAATACCCTTCATCGATATTGAAAAGGATCCATATGTGCCCATGTTTCGATTGCTTATTGCAAAAATCTTGGACGGATACGTGGAAGTCTTGAGGACACTATCGAAGACTTATGATCCGCACTTACACAAATCTGTATACCGCAGGTGGTTAAAAAACGATTGTGAATTGTAAGGTTTTTCCATCCCTTTATCAAAAAATGATGGGTAAAAAATGGGTCCAGGTCTCTTTTGAGATCGTTCCCTCACTTTCTTACAACACTTGTATTGCAAGATTGAAAATTGTACAATTTGACACTACGACAATTTGTTTGTAAATCACTTTGACAACACCCCCCTCCCGATTATTTTGCAACACTTGTATTGCCTAGATTGGAAAATTTTAAAATTTAAACGAACGAAAAATTTCGGTACAGCAGTTGTTTGCAAATCAATTCTCCGCAGATGCGATGCAATGAGTCATGTGAATGTGCGTCGGCCGTTTGTGGTGCAAAGAGAATTTTCCACGGATCAAGCACTCCGTGAATCTGGTCGTTTTGCGTTTGTAAGTTTTTCTTTTTTGAAAAGGTTGCGGAGCTCGATATTTTTTCGAGTGACTGTACGTGCAAAACGAAGTTCTTAAGCAAGCGTGAATTGCATTTGCGTATGATCGCAAATGCGAATCGCAAGCAGTGACTACACTGCAAAACCGAAAAAGCAGCAAATAGAATAGCCAATTACGAATGGCTATTCCCCTCATTCTATACTCTAATTGGTTGATTGTTTTTTTCTGGAGTACAGTATGAATCAATATTAAAATGCCGTAACTCAACAAAAAATATCAATATCTTAGATTTTAGAAAGTATTTTTATACCTTGAATTATTTAAAGACATAAACTATTTTTTTTTATCTCACTATTTCTTATTTCCAGAAATTAAAAAAGGGACCGTCCACAAATATAATAACGACAATGATGCATCATTGTGGATTGAACCTCCGAAAGCAATATATTTCAATGTTTAGTTCCAGTTATTTCAGTTGAGAAAAGCTATTGCAATGCTTTTAACATGCTTATCACATATAAAAACAAAATGAAATAAACTGAAAGTTATGAACTGCTTTAAAGTAATGAATTTGCGAACGTCGTATACGACTGCCAATAGAGGTGCGAAATGTTCTGTTTTGTTATGAATTTATTCTAATACGTTCATCAATGCCCTGTAAAAGTGTAAATTGAGAAAACATGAATGTATAGGATTTGCTATGAAGCCTGTTCGGGCTCAATTTTTCAGTAAGTGATATCTTTTGTATTTTATTTACTAAGTATGTTCTAATTATACCTAATTGACATATGAGAATGGTGTAGAGTAAATTTGGTTGTCACACCTTTATCATGTTCATCTCCTTTTTTGTATGTATTTTAGAATTTTGCTGAGTTTTATTTGGAAAAGTTCTACCTTTCTAAATATAAAAAAAATGTTATCTCATTTATTTATTTTATTTTTTTTCTCTAAATTTAAACAAATCTTAATGTATAACAGTACCAGACGATAATCATTGCTTCTGCAGTAATATCATTTGTTTTGTATATAATTTAGTTTTTCTTTCCCTATATTAAGAGAGTAATTCATGAATTTTAGATATTACAATTTAACTGACTAATGTATAAATCGAATTTTATAATTTTTTTTATTATTTTGCAAATGCTTTTTTTTTCATTTCAAAATATAAATGTAAGTTGTGCGGAAAAGGAACGTTTAATTGTAAAATTAAATTGATATTGGTAAATAGCAAAGAAATTTATACATGTTAATGTTTTTTTTTTAATATATAAAGTGCTTAATGTTATAAATAATAGTATCATTTGCATTCTGATGTAGTTGCTGTACAATAAAATGTACTATTATAAATGTTTAGTACCAGGGCTGGATTACCCATTAGGCTAGACTAGGCCATGCCCTGGGGCCCCCTTACAATGGATATTTTGAAAATGAATTTTAAAAAATTAAGAAAAACAATGATTTAAGAAAAAATCAATTTCAAATATATATTAATAAAATATGATAATTTTTTTACATAATGTTAATCATATTTATATAAACATATCTAAATACTTTTATATTTGAATAAATAATAAATATACCAGAAGAAAATTTTAGTCTGAGGGTCTCAAAAATTTGAATGGCCTAGGGCCCCGCGTAGGCTTAATCTGGCCCTGTTTAGCACTATTATAAATCAATATTATTATAATATTTTTATTTATGTTTCAGTTTACAATATTTATAATTGCCATTTTTTGTAATATAATTTCTATAAGTTCACAATAATTACATTTTTTTAAAAAAAAATGTATACTTAATTATTGGCATATATGATACGTATATAATTTTTTTTTTTAAGTACTATTTTCACATTGAATTTTTTTCATATGTTGATTGTTTTTTTTCCATTCCTATTTTTGATAAAATGTTACCATTTGTTCCCTGTTTATTGCTGAATTTATTAGCATTATTTATTGTATGAAAGATAGCGGTCAACCTTTGTGACATAAAACAAACAGCATTCCTTGTTGATAATTTATACAATTAATGTGTTTCCGTCAATTTAAATTTTATTAAATTATTATTAAAATACATACGGAATAAAATAACTATTTTTTCTAAAGAAAAACTCACAATTTTTTTTAAAGATTTCCATAAATTATGCATTTTACTAAAAATATTTTAAAATATGTAATTTATCTTTTTTGAACATAGTGGGTTGATTAATTTTTTGTAGTGGTGTTGGGATAGAGGAGATGCTTAGTTTTATGAAGAATTACTGTCAATTAAAAGCTTCAATTTTAATTTAACACTTTGTTTAAAAAGAAGTTTGGTCCTCTAATTAATTTGCATTTTTATACATATTCTCAAGGCGGCAAAAAAAATGGTCTTTACTTGCTTGAAAAAAAAATTATATATTTAGTTTTTAACTTGAAATAACACTTCCAAGTGTAAAATATACATGCTTTGCTTTTACTGTATATACATGTTGTATTATATAGTTTTTTAAGCTTTGACTTTTAATTAGCTTTGATTTCTTAAACTTTTGTCACATTTTAAGTATTGAGACACATCACTTCCCAGGATAGAATATATGAATTTGCCTTTGTAACTGATCAGAACGATAAATAATCATGTTTATCATTTTTTTTTCTCTCAAATTTTTTTAGTCTGAAATGATGTGGATGTTGTCCATCCAACATCCACATCAAAACGATCAGCGATATCATCATTAACGAAACAACATCAAAACGATAATCATGCTTTTCTGGCTTCATGTAGTCCGGACACAGTATCGCAAATGCAAAAATTACATTGATACGAAGCATTGTTATAAATTAAAACGTGCGCTTTCATGTAAAAGGCATTCTTTCAAAATATTGATAAAAAGAATAGAAGCAGACAAAACCATTAGAAAAAATTAAATGTCATTAAAACCTCACTAAATTCATGTTTAAGTTCAGAAGTTGCAGCGTGCTAGAAACAAATATGCAGGTTAACATACGTTGTGAAAAAATTAAAAATTTTTCATAATGTACTATGATAAAATATGTATACTACGATACAAAGTAACAATGGGTGAAATGTTTCTAATTGAAGTCTTTTCAGCATATAATGATCTCAGCATTTTTTATTTGTATTTAATTTATTTATTTATTTTTATCTGCAATATGACTTGTTAAATTTAAAGCCCTCTTCCTATAACTTATGGGCTGTTGATTTTCCTGAGAAAGATTTTTAGAATTTATACTATGATAAAAAGTAGCAATAGGTGAAATGTTTGTAATTGAACTCTTTTCAGCATATAAAAATTTTTGCATAATTTCAACATACACTGTATTTGAATGAAATAGTAACTTAATTTTTAGTTCATTACATCTAAAATATTTGTAATACAGACATTACTTTATTGAGTAGTTAACCAGTATTACGCGCTACACTATATTTTTTGGGTATTATATTAACCAATTTTTATTTCGTGTTGAGAAGTTCAGAAGTTTTTAAATATTTTAATTAGTCAATCTAAAAATCCTTATATTACAATTTTTTTTTTTTTTTTTGAAATTGTTTGTCTTAGAATTCTGCAAGAAATTTCAGTATTATTCACTTTGAGTTGCAGGACTTAGTGACATTTTCGTTAAATTAAAGCCGTGTAAATTCAGCGTTCCTGTAAACATAAGTCCCGTAGTAATGTAGTTAAACACAGGTTTATGTTTGACAAAAAACACATTTTTTCCTTTATAAAAGTTGAGTTTCTGATAGTTAGCTTATAAAATATAATTGTCTGATCTCATAATAAAATATTGACTTAGCACAAAATGTACTGGGAACACTGATGACAGATTATAAATTGATCAGATACTAGATTGCATTTCTAAATCTCATCACTTTTTCAGCGGAGCTAAAAATATTACAATTATTATTTAGAAAAATCTTATTGATTATTTAATTTTAATTGCAAGAGGATGAATTGAATGTATATTAAGCAAAGAATTCAATATTAAAAGCAATTAAAAATAATACTTCCTGTGGAAAAATGCACTAAGCAGCTGAGAATCCAAAAGGAATTAAAACAAAAGAAACAATGAAATATGAAAAAAATGAATAAATATGACAACCGAAGCGTTTTCAGAGGGTAACACCTCCAGAAGTAATAAAAGCAAAACCTTTTCTATCGAGAGAGCACGACAAATGTCTAAAATGCCCTCTATGTACCTGAAGAAATAGAGTAGAAATAATTCAAATATTCTTTCCTACCTGGTTTTATCTTTTTATCAGACTTCGATACTGAGTCGCTTGTCTTCAAAAGAAAACGAACTCTAATAGTAAAACATATTTAATAAAAGGAGGACGGACATAACATAAACGATCATCTTTCATCAAAGCTATAGAAATCAACATTGAAACAAAATAAAAACATTAATATTCATAATATTCATTCAGTCTGCGCGCTATCTGTTGGCATTAAAGGTAATCTGTTTCAGTACCCCAAAGGTTTTGCCAAAGTCCAGGAAGAGAATACAATACAAAATATAAAATACATAAAGCAAATACAGAAGTATATGTTTATACTTCTGTATTTACTTTATGTATTTTATATTTTGTATTGTATTCTCTTCCGGGACTTTGGCGAAACCTTTGGCCTATAGAGAGAGCAATTTTAAACATTTGTTGTGCTCTCTCAATAGAAAAGGTTTTGCTTTTATGACTTCCTAAGCTGGTACCCCCTGAAGACGCCAGCTTCGGTTCTCATATTTCTTCATTTTCTTCATTTGATAAGTTGAATTTATTTTCATGCAAACACTTTTCGTCCCGCAGTGGACTGATAGTAGAGAATCGGTTCCTTATACAATACGGAAGTCAAGCCTCTCTGGCTGCGGTCAGTGTGCGGGTGGGTGACCACTTTAGTTAGCCTGCGTAGGGACCGAGGGTGCTAGGTATCAGTCCTCCTTAAACTGTTCTACTGTAATGAGCTTGACTTCGCACACAGGTCGTTGGGCAACCAAAGCAGAGGAGCCATCCCCTCTGCAGAGAATAAAAATTGTGATTGCATGTCCCAATTGATATTTGAGAGATTGATATGAGAATAGTTTTTTCTGCTTCGCACGGCCTTCTCCCCTGATTATATCATTGCATTTGACTTTCAAGAATGCTGGCATTTCTAATAATCGATACGTAATTTTTAAAATTTGAAACATTTCTTAAAAAATTTGTGATTTTTCAAATTTTTTTTGTGTGAAATTTTGCTAAAAGCGGTGGCAACGAGTAGATTGAAACTAGTTTCAAAAGTTAATGACCTAATATTGCTTTTTTTTAAGAGTTAATTATAATTGCTTGCAGATAGTTTTTTAATTCAGATTTTGTGTTTACTGAACGATATTTATTTTATCTATGTCTGGAAGTCCTATCTATGATACTGAGAACCTAAGATGTGGAAAACTTCCATTTTGGAGATCATATTGATAAAAATTCCTTTTTTTAATGATTTTTAAACAAATTTAAAATAATAAGTTAAATTTCTTCCCAAGATATTTTCTCATTGGGCTTTAGACAGCTTAGTAAATTATCAAGATATAAATGAACTAATTTTTTTTGCTATTATGTTTTGTTTATTATTCAGTTGTAATTAACGTATAAATTTATAATAGTTATATCTTGTTTGAATATAGAGATTTATTATATTTTCATAACCTCAATAAGACGGGAGACAATTGGTTAACCACTCTATCTATATATATATACATATATA